AGTGCGTGCGTGCATATGTGTGTGTGTGTGTGTGTGTGTGTGTGTGTGTGTGTAGTCATGCTATGTATCCTGGGTTGACCTTGAATTCACTAAGTAGCCCAGGCTGGCTTGGAATTCTCTCCTTCAGCTTTTGTCTCTCAGGCACTGGGTCTTAGACGTGTGTGCCACACTGCCCAGCTCTCGTCATTCTCCCTGACCCACCTGGCTATTGGTCATTTCCTAACAGCTTGGCTGCCTCTGCTGGTCACCAGACTGCCCTCTCACATATTTCTCTAGTAGGCGACCAGCCCAGAAGAGCTCTCAACTGTTAACTCTTTGGGGTTTGACTCAGAGTGTTGGCTACAGGGTAGGACAGAGCAGGTCCTCACCCTGCTTTGTACTGTGTAAACTTGGGTGAATTATTTACCCTTTCCAACCCAGTTTTCTCATCTATAGCCTGGAGGACACCAGGGCCTTGTTTGGGTTTTGTCCTACATAAGGTAATGCACACAGAGCTCTTAGCTTAAGTGGTAACAGCTAATGGTACCTGCCACTAACAGTTACCAACACGCATCAGGCAGTTACTATACCACTCTACTTCTAGCAATTATTTGTTGAGGACGTGTCATGCACAAAGCATGGTTCTAGGCACTTTGTACGTATCAGCTCATTTTATCCTTAGCACAGCCCCATGAAATAGATAGGAATGGAACTGCCTCCGAACAGCTAGCTAAGCCTTCCCAGGAGAGAGGACTGGCAGGGCTAAGAACAAACTCAGATGGCTTGGATCCACAGTGTACAATCTTAATCGCCGCATTAAAACTCCAACTTCCACTTATGATTGTCTTTTCTAGAGAAACCAATTTTTTTTTTTTGGCAAAATTCTTCATAAGCTAAAACCATTGGAGAACTGTTTGAATCACAGCTGAAATTTTCTGTTTGCTGAAAGATCTAGAAATAAAAAACAAACAAACCTCAATTTAGAGGTGCTCAACGATTGAATGACAAGAAGGCCTGTGGGAAGACCTGGATGTCTCCTTCTTCTATCCACTCATGGGGACAGTTTGGGTGACAAGGTTTTCAGACGAGGAGGGTTACAGTGGGGAGGCTGATCTCCTTCAGGTGGAGCTAGACTAGGAGTCTGCAAATGCCTCCTTGGCTCTTGGTCTCCGTCTACATAATTGAGGATCATTAGAGGGATGTGGGTAACAATAATCGCACCTTCCATTGGGGTCCATACCAATGTATTCAAAAGTTTCTCGGCATCATGCACTCAAAGAATCCTAACAAAATCTTTCAACATACTTGTAGTGAGCCAAGGAGGGCTTGTGCATGCCCTTTGCTGGCTATCGTTTAAAATTTAAAAAGAGATTGATTCTGGGCCTCCAGCTCAGGGCCTTGGGCATGTTAGGCATGTGCTCTACCACTGAGCTACATATTCAGCTCCTAGCTGCAGTCTTATTTTTTTTTTAAATTATATTAATTTTACATACCAATGGAGCTTCATTTAATATTTCCAAGAATGCAGAGTGTATTAGTCATAGCCAACCATCCTCTTTGACCCTCCACTGACCCTTGCTTCCTCCTTCATCTCTAATTATCACTATTCTACTTATAGGTTCATGTGTTTAAGCATGCAAATATGGGAGAACACATGAGGCACTTTTCCTGTGTCTGGCTTATTTCACTTATCATTTTGTCTTCCAGTTCCGACTGTTGCAAGTAAAGGATTCTATTTGTTTTTAAGGCTATACTATTATCATATCCATAGTAACAACAACACATAAATGTTTTGAACACGTATGTTTTCTTTAGTCGTTCATCTGATGGGCACATCTCTTAGTTATTGCGAGGAGTCTGGTTGATCACATCTCTTAGTTATTGCGAGGAGTCTGGTTGACATCTTGAAAGTGCCGATCTTTACTCCATCTTGTATCAGACAATGATGCTCTCCTCCTCCTAGTGAGTAGTCTGGTGGTGCTTTGGGGTAGAAGGAGTGAGACGACTCTAACTTACTGTTGAGTCTCAGGTACTTAACCTCGTTAGGACTTTGCTTCCTCGTCTATGAAATGAATATAACCCCGACAAGGTGGCAGGAGGGTCAGTGACAAGATACACGGTGCCTGACATTATCTGGGGTGTAGTGTTGGCTTCAGTGAGCTGTAGTTATCACCATTTCTTCAGCCAACAGTTTCGTCTTCTATTTTTATTAGTATCTGGTGTTTCCCACTTGACTATAAAGGGCCCCTAAAAGCAGTGACTGGTTTTTCACCTCTGTTTCTCTGCACCCAGAGCTGTGCCTAAACCATAATCAGTGCTCAGGAAATACCCATTGAGTCAAGGAAGTTGTTCACTCAGGTCTATTCAACACTGGCTGATGTTCTAACAGACCCTTTGTTTAACTGGAACCTTCCTCTTCAGCTGGCTCCTCCACTCTCCATTCTTCATAGCATTTGTTAGTAATGCTGAAATTTTATTTTTATATTTTATGTTAACTGTGTTGTCAATATTTGACCCTAAACTTCCTAAGGACAGGGACAATGGACTCCCAGGGACTGGGAGACTTTCAGTCTTGATTTGCTAAATGAATATTTTTTTCTTTTTCCACATTTTAAAAGACCCCCCCACACACACACCCTTTCTCTAGGAAGTGGGGTCTAGACTCTCAAATTGGGTTAGATGTCAATCTCAGGCTGTTCCCATGCTCCTCCATAAATAACCCTTCTCCCTGTTTCTGGCTCAAGCATTGTGGCTGTCTCCTTCCAGGGCCAATTAGTCAGCCCCAAGGTGTCTCATTACGTTTATCAGGACTTCATTATACAGCTAGACCAGCCAGCAGGAGGTCCAGCAAAGCCAGGATTTTGGCAGGGCTGGGAGTCTGGAATAGGATTTGCCATTTTCTCCGTCCTCACCCTGACCACGTTCATATTTAGTATTTATCACATTGTGTTGTAACTGTTAATTTTCAGACGTCTCCCCGCCCCCACACAGCAAGGGCAGGAAGGATTATCTCCTGCCCCCAGAGGCTGCTGTGGTGCCTAGCCTGCAAGGAGGGCTTACAAAGGTTTCCTAAAGACATGACTGCTCTCCATGAGTCAAGCCTCATTACCGAGGACAAAAACCAACTCAGGGAGAAGACCCTGCCTCTGGCTTCAACAACAACAAAACAACAAAACAACAACAACAACAACAACAACAAAACCCCTGAGCCCCCACCCCCAATCTTTTTCAGTTTTTGAGTTTATTATGTGGAGCTGAAAATATCCTTTTAAAACACATAACAATGGTATTCAATCATAGGATTCCTGATAGGTATTGGTTCAAAAATATCCACTCCACATTCATCTGGGCTCACGTCTGTACTTCTTTTGTGTACTTGTGTGTGCATGTGTGTGTGCAGGCCAGAGGCTGACTTCCAGTATCTCCTCCATTGGTAATTATCTTTAATTAATTTAAAAATACCTTTATTGGCCCCTTTTTTATGTGCATTGGTGTGAAGCTATCAGATCCCCTGGAATTGGAGTTATAGACAGTTGTGAGCTGCCATGTGGGTGCTGGGACTTGAACCTGGGTGCTCTGGAAGAGCAGCCAGTGCTCTTAACCACTGAGCCATCTCTCCAGCTCCCTTATTATTTTTAAATTATGATGTATCATTATTGTTTTGTGGGTGGTAGTGGTGTGTGTGTGTGTGTGTGTGTGTGTGTGTGTGTGTGTGTGACTGGCATGTGCCCATGGAAGGTAGAGGATGTAAGTCCAGCTCTGTCACTCTGTTACAAGATGGAGTAAAGATCGGCACTTTCAAGATGTCAACCAGACTCCTTGCAATAACTAAGAGATGTGATCAACTCAGGTGCCCATCAGATGAACGACTAAAGAAAACATACGTGTTCAAGACATGTATGTGTTGTTGTTACTATGGATATAATAATAATATAGCCTTAAAAACAAATGAAATCCTTTACTTGCAACAATCCTTATTTCCTTGAGAAAGGGTCTCTCACTGAACCACTGCATGGCAAGTCTGGTTGGCCTGGGATTACAGAAATGCACCTGTCTCTGCCCTTAACACTGGTGTTACAGACACCTGTCACCACTCCTGGCTTTTACCTGGTGCTGGGGATCTGAACTTAGGTCCTCATCACGCTTGTCCAGCAAGAACTCTTCCCCACTGAGCCACCTTCTCAGCCTTCCACCTTAGTTTTTGAGACAGGGTCTTTCTTTGAACCTAGAGCTTGCCCTTCAGGCTGCAAGCCTTGGAGATCCTCCTGCCTCCACCCACCCCCAGCCCCGGGGCTACAAGGACACACTACCACACTCATTTGTGTGTGTGTGTGTGTGTGTGTGTGTGTGTGTGTGTGTGTCTGAAGCCAGGTCTTCATGCTTATACTGCAAGCACTTTTTACCCACTGTCATCTAGATTTTGGATTTCTGTCTGGAAGTGGCTTTAGCTGGTGGGATGTTATCAGATGTGGTCAAGCAGTAGGAGGGAACTGCTTGCACAACCTTTGACTCTGAGAAGTCTCTGCTCCATTCCAGCCCTGCTGGATTTGCAGTTGAAGCAGAGCCAAGCCAGCCAGGTCTGCTCCAGATCCTAGCCCAACCCCTTTAGAGGGTTAGGACTTAGGAGGAAAGATTCATGTCTCAGGATGCTGAAATTTTACGGTTGTTTGTTAAGGAGGAGTAATGGCTGATTGATCAAGGTTAGGTCAGGGGTTTCTAACCTTGGCAGAACGTCTGAGTTATTTAGAGAAATTTAAAAGAAATAGATACTAAAACTTCCTCCAGATTGTCTGGAGTGTTCTTCAGAAACCTACACTCCCTTTATCTCTCTGGGTGGATTTTTACATAGCAGTCCCACATCCTTTTGTTATCTGTTATTTGGGAATCACAGATACTAATGTGCGATGAGGTTTCTATGTAACCTCTAAAATCCTTTTCCTCTTTTGACCACACAATAAAAAGAGAAATCCTTTCTGATGCTGGATGATTACAGTCAGAGAAATCCTTCCTCCCCAGAGTAGAGTCTTCTCTCAGAATCTTTTTCAGTGTGAACTGTTAGGATTATATATTTTTAAAACAACATGAACACTTTGAAGAAATCTGTGCTGACTTTTTCTTACCTCATCTGGAGAAAGGTCCAGATGGGGTTGTGATGTACGACTCAGGGTTATTTGCCTTTAGTCTGAACTATGATTGTGTCCTCTTGGTATTTTCGCCTGGGCTATGATCAGCAGGCAGAGGGAAATTTAAGGCAGGAGACTGAGGCTTGGAGCATGAAGATACTGTTCAAGGAAGAAGCATCCATGAAGTCAAGCTTAGCAGAGAGGCTGCTGGGAGACTGGACTTAAAAGGAGGCCTCTGCTGTAACTGAGCAGGAAGGGGCTGGGATCACTCTTGATTCAGGACCCTAGAAAGTGCAGGGCAACAGTTCTGAGGCTTGAGGCAAACCATAGAGGAATGTTAGAGACGCAGATTCATTTAGATAAAAAGCACAACAGAAGTAGAACTTAAAAGCAAATAGTTTTAAAAATTATGACAATTTTTTTTTTTAAATTGGAAAAACTTCAACAGAAAAAAAAAATGAAGGACAAGTACCTATTATTACTCGGAATCCTCTTTTCCAGAGTCAGTGGTGATGTAATGGAGTGTGGCAGTCTTGACCTTCCTCTGGGCTGGTACATATGCATATTTTAGAAAAACAAGATTTTCTTTTCTGTTTTTTAAAAGATTATTTATTAACTTGTGCCTGTATGAGTTTATGTGCTTCAGGTCCCCTGGAACTGGAGTCAGACAGTTGGGAGTCACCTGATGTGGGTGCTGGGAACCAAACCCAGGTCCTCTGCAAGAGCAGGACGAACTCAACCTCTGAACCATGTTTCCAGTCCCCAGGATTTTCTTATGCACACTCATTAGTATCCCCTTTTCTATCCCATTAAACATTAACCCAATCATCATCAAAAACTGTACTTAATACCTACAAAGACAATCACACTTCAGGTCTCACTGCTGATCACTGGGGCTGTGGTTTACCATTACATAAAGTCTGTGATGAACAACATTGATTCATTGTTGCGTCCTGTAAAACCATCTTTAAAACATACATTCCAATATTTGTATTATTAGGATAACACATTTAAAGCCCCCCCACCTTAGGTTGCCCTCCCCTCCAAAATGTATTCACGAATAGTACTGTCTGTCAATCTTTTTAACTCTTGTTAATATTCAAAGGGGATATTTTTCTGTGGTTTAACTCTTTCCCTCTACTTCTAGTGACTTTACATCTTTTGTTTTTCGAGACAGGGTTTCTCTGTGTAACAGTGCTACCTGACCAGGATGCCCTCAAACTCACAGAGATCGGCCTGCCTCTGCTGGGATTAAAGGCATGTACCACCACAGCTGACTTTCAATCATTTTTAAAAATAAATTTACCTGTTTGTAATGTACATAGGTGTTTTGCTTGCACGAATGCCTGTACCACGTGCCTACACAGCCCTTTGAGGCCAGAAGAGGGCCTAGGATCCCCAGGAACTATAGTTATAGAGGGTTGTGAGCTGCTGTGTGGGTTCTGGGAAGCCAACCTGGGCCTCTGCAAGGGCAGCCCATGCTCTCAACTGCATTGGCTCAATCTGAGTGGAGTCATCTCTCTCCACTCTTCAAACCCTTCTCATATATTCATGTCTGCACTTTTCCTGTTTGTCAGCTTTCTCTTCTTGACTTTTATATTCAGTATTTGTCTTATAGATTGTAGCTGTCTTAGAGTGACTTTTTTGCATGTTTCTTAATTTTACAATGGGATTCTAAAATTCTTTCTGAAGTGGGTAACGTAATAGACTGAAAAAAGGCACAAAATTTCCAAGAATTCGGCCTGTGATCTTACTGCCTGTGTCTGAGTAAAGTTATCACCTAGCAAGGGGAGGCAGGCCCGCAAAGCACTCACTGGGCCTGGGTGCCAGATCGCTGGGAGACTCTCAACTTCCTCATTTGGGAAAGATCAGAATGAAAACTCCTTTGTAAGGCTGTGAAAAGGAACTGGAGAGAAAGCAGGCTAAGAGCTTCCTCTAGGCCTTGGATATAGCAAATCCGCTCTAAATCTTTGCTATTATGTGTGGAAAGGGTAAGGCACTTTTAAGATTCAGCCAGGGGATGTAGTTATCCAGGAACCCGGTGGTCCGGTGAGTCTTGGGGATTAAGCCATTCCCCTGGAGAAGTGCACAGCTGGAGTGAGAAACTCGGGTACCAATCCAGATCCTGCCCATTTCTTGGGATGTGACTGACCTTGGACAAGTCACCTTTGCCTTTACCTCCACCTGGAAAACACACGAAAGACCACCTGAGCTCGTGCAGGGTTAGAAGGCGCGTGGGAAAGGCTCACAAAGGGCTTCTGAGACTCGGGTCCCGGGGCGCTCTCGGCGGGCATCCTCGGCAGCGCCCGGCCAGCCCAGCCGGAGGGATCGGCGACCCCGGCCCGCGCCCCCGCCCGCCTCAGGAACA